TTAGTTGTCCGATTAATTTCTTTCTATTTTTAGTAGAGACGGGGTCTCGCTCTTGCTCAGGCTGGTTTCGAACTCCTGAGCTCAAACAATCCACCCTCCTCGGCCTCACAGAGTGCTAGGATTACAGGCATGAGCCACCGCGCCCGGCCAAGTGTTTTTTTTTTATTTTGCTGTTAGAGACAAGGTCTCACTGTGTTGCCCCGGCTGGAGTGCAGTAGTGTGATCACAGCTGACTGCAGCCTCCAACTCCTAGGCTAAAGCAGTCAGCCTCCCGAGTAGCTGGGACAGCAGGTGTATGTACTGTGTCTGGTTCATACGTTTAATTTTGAAGCGCTTGCTTTGTCCTCCCCCACCCCGCCCCGTGTTCCTTTTTCTAACATTCCGTTCCTGTTTCATGGATGCAAACCTCTTACCACCTTGAGGGTATTAACGATGGCTCTTTCTTCTGTCCTTGTATCCTCTGAGTTTTGGCTTCCGCCACTCGCTGTGTCCTCGTTTGCTGTGCCCTCTGTCTCCTTTGCGAGGCTTTCCTGAGCTGCCTAGCGAGCTTGGCTGCGTGCTGTCTTTGAGAACAGGCACCAGCAGACTGGCTGGGAGCATCCAGCCTGGGGGCGGGTTTTCCTGGGGACAGTCGTAGGTCGGTCCCTGGGTCCTTCCTCTTGGGCTGGTCCTGTCCCGGGAGAAGAGGCAACAGGCCTGGCTGGCGCCCTGCTCAGGGCCTTAGGAACACACACTTCCACTTAAGTACCTGCTTCCCACCGTGCCTCACACTCCCCCTTGCACAGAGGCCCACGGTTTACTTCTCCGTATGCTCCGCTGGGTACACTTGGGGCAGGAGCTGCAGGGACCCAGCTACTCCTTAGTGAGTCTCCTGTGTTGGCCCCCATGACCCCGCTTCTCAAGGCACCAGGTGCTGCCAAGGCCTGAGCCCGTGGGGGTCACTGTCCCCACCGTGTGCGCCTACCAAAATCTGCCTTCTGAGCTGAGTCTGCCTGCCCGCTCCTGTGCTCTATGCCCTGGTTTGAGCCTAGTAAAAATCCCTTAGTTTGTTTGGGGTGGGGAGTTCCAGTGGAGGGCACAGTCTGGCCACCATCCTTACCCTGCCCTCGGCCATGGATCCCATAGTTGTGTGGCTGCGCTTTTCCTGACCGACCACTGTTGGGGGCCTTCGGCCGCCTTCTAATACGTGAGTGACGGCCAGCGGGGGCTGGGCCCTGAACTCTGACCTGTGATCTCTGACCTTGGCTGGGCTGTGACCTCTGGACACTGGGCCGTGGGGGCAGGGCTTTAACAGCTGGTTCCCCCCAGGTCCTTCCTCAGATCCCTGTGACGAGTGGTGGTCCCCATGGGGCAGGGGTCCTCGGTGAGTGGCTGACCCCCTCCCCACCCCACCTTGGGAGGCTCCTGGGGCATCTGTTGGCAGCCCCTCCCCCTCCAGATGCCCAACTGGGGAGGGAGGGTGGGAGGTGAGGCGAGGGGCCCGGCCGGGGCGGGGTGGGGGCCTGCTGGAGCCTCTGCTCCCTCCCCCAGGGCTGCACCTAGAGGGTCCATTCATCAGCCGGGAGAAGCGGGGCGCACACCCCGAGGCCCACCTCCGCTCCTTTGAGGCCAATGCCTTCCACGATGTGCTGGCCACCTACGGGCCCCTGGACAACGTCCGCATTGTGACGCTGGCCCCCGAGCTGGGCCGCAGCCACGAGGTGATCCGGGAGCTGACAGCCCGTGGCATCTGTGTGTCCTTAGGTGAGTGGGGCCATCTCCATGGGTGGGGCGGCCAGGGGTCCTGGGCCAGGTGCAGAGTCTGAGTCCACGCCCCTGCCCAGGGCACTCGGTGGCTGATCTGCGGGCGGCAGAAGCAGCGGTGCAAAGTGGAGCGACCTTCATCACCCACCTCTTCAATGCCATGCTGCCTGTGAGTGCCTCCCCAGCTCCCTTGTGGAGGGTGGCGGGGGGGGCTGAGATGGGAGGGGGCTCGGCGGCCCTGCTGTCGCTCAGCTGTCTCCTCCTGACCCCGTGCAGTTCCACCACCGCGACCCAGGCATTGTGGGGCTCCTGACCAGTGACCAGCTGCCCCCGGGCCGTGGCATCTTCTATGGGATGATCGCCGACGGCACACACACCAACCCGGCAGCCCTGCGAATCGCCCACCGGGCCCATCCCCAGGGTGAGCCTCGGGGCCGGGAGGGGAGGCGACGGTGGCCGGCGGGCAGGTCCTGAGGTTCCCTTCTTCCCAGGACTGGTGCTGGTCACTGATGCCATCCCTGCCCTGGGCCTGGGCAACGGCCGTCACACTTTGGGACAGCAGGAGGTAGAGGTGGACGGGCTGACGGCCTATGTGGCAGGTGAGCTGCCCCCCTCCCCACTTACTGCTCTTGTGAGAACAGCCCCTCTGCCCCTCTGGTGGGAGGAGAGAACCCAAGTGTGCCCTGCTTGCCCACGGGACCCCAGCCACGACCTGGTGGCCCACAACCCCCTCAGAGCCTGACCTCTGCTCTTAAGGCACCACGACGCTGAGCGGCAGCATAGCCCCGATGGATGTCTGTGTCCGGCACTTCCTGCAGGCCACAGGTCAGTAGGCCGGTGCCAGGCATGCGTGTGTGCATCGGGGGCCACACCTACATCTGGGAGAAGCTGGAGGGAAGAGTGGGGCCCACCCAGGCCCTGTCCTGCATCCTTTGTCTGTGACTGGTCGGTTCCCAGGGCAGGGACCAGCCCCTGGGGATGTTGCCAGGGTCCTGCCCATGCGCTCACGGGCAGCAGGCATGCAGTGACTCATGCCCAGGATGACAGGCAATCGCCCTGAACACTCTGAGCTGGGGTCCTTGTTAACCTACCGCAAAGTCCCTGAAATGGGAGCTCTGGAGCTGTGGGGTGTGGGGGCTGCTGGTACAGCCATGGGGGTTGGGGACTGTCACCAAGTTGTGTCCCCTGGGCAGGCTGCAGTGTGGAGTCAGCCCTGGAGGCTGCGTCCCTGCACCCTGCACAGCTGCTGGGGCTGGAGAAGTGTAAGGGGACCCTGGACTTCGGAGCTGACGCAGGTGAGGGCCGGCGCAGGGCAGCCCGACAGCCTTGGCTCTGCCTGCGAACCTGAGAGTTCTTGGGGGGCCTGGGATGGGATGGGAAGGGTGGGTCTTCCCTAGGGCCCACTCCCAGGTGGCCTCGCCTGGCCACCAGCCTCAGCCTGGTCCCTGGTGCCTGACAGGCCAGTCTTTCTGGTATCCAGGACAAGGCCAGGCAAGGGTTTGCGGCAGCGTCGTCCCTGTCCTCAGCTGCTGGGAGTTGGAGCTCTTGGTTTCAGCGTCTCTGTCAGTCTGTGATGGGTCAGGGTGTCCTGCACGAGTTGCGTCCCTGGGCCTCAGTTTCCCCACCAGCCTCAGGTTGCGGGGAAGGATTCCAGGTGGAGGTGGGGTAGTGGCCCCACCCCAGCCCTTTCCTCACTGCCCGGCTCTGACCCAGACTTCGTGGTGCTCGATGACTCCCTCCACGTTCGGGCCACCTACATCTCGGGTGAGCTGGTGTGGCAGGCAGAGGAGGCCAGGCAGTGACGAGGACCTCCGCTGGAGAGGACACCTGGCCCCAGCTGGACACTTGTCAGGGCCAGGCAGTCGGGGAGCTGGCCTCCAGGGATCGAGTGGGGCCCTGCTCCAGGCTGACAGCTATGGCTCTCGTGGCCACCCTGGAGGCAACTGGATAAACGTGCGCCCAGCAGGGACTCGCCCGTCTCTGGGTTTTGCTTGCACTCGACACTCGGCTCCTTGCTGTTTGCTCCTGCCCTGGTACCTTCCTGGGGACGGCATTTGTGGCTTGGGGGTGGGAATGGCTGGATTCCAGCTCAGCCCAGACCTGTGGGGTCCCAGTGGAGGAGACAGGGTCCCTCCCTGGTAGGTGGCCCTGCCTGAGGCCTGCAGACACACAGGAAGACATAGCGTGAGCAATCAATGGGGGCAGATGGGGACACTGGTCAGGGCGGGCGCCATGGGGCTGGAAGCCACGGGCTGCAGGTGGCAGGAACGCGCCTGGCAGAGGGAGTGCAGACGGTGTCAGGAGTTTGCCGTCTGCACTCCGGAGCTGGGTGGGCAGAGCGGAGACCCAAGGCCTAGTCCCAGGCCAGGGCAGTGCCACGGCCTCCACTGCGATACTTGACCTTCAGGAAGGAGTCCACACTGGCCTCAGGACCCTCTGACCACAGGAGGTAGTGGCCTGAGGGCCCTGACCCCTGCTCCCTGGCCTGCCCAGCACTTAGTCCCACCACCTCACGGCCCTGGTGGATAATCGAGGTTCCATTTCCTTCGATGTCTTCTCTCAACAACCCCATCTGCTGGCCCGATCCCCGGGTGGACATGGCGAGCCTCCCATGTCCCAGTGCACAGGCAGCTGTGGGCACCCAGTCTGGTGTTGGTGGGCAGCTGGGTGGGTGTCACCAGTGTCTTGTGCCCTGAAACTGCCCTGTTGGTGTCATCCTGCAGCCTTCCCTGTTCCCTCGGCCCTGGCAGTGCGTCCCAGATCCACTTTCCCACCCCCCGTGGGGAGCACGGGCTGTTGGGCTTCTTGGATAGCTTCGAGGCTGGTGGGCTTTGGGGAACCCCTGGCTCTGAGGACGACCAGGACGTGGGGGCAGATGTTGAGGTCGATGGGTATAGCCCCAGGTCTGGGGTTGTCTGGACTTTTGGGTGCTGGGGTGGGCGGCCCCCTTCCTCTTGCATACGGGTGCTTGCAGTCCTCAGCGCGGGACATTGCAGACAGCATCGTACCTGGCTTGGCCGCTGTTCCTTCTGCAAAGCCTGCCCAAGGAAATGTTGGCAGTCCCAAAGTGACAAAGGTGATCTCCAGCTCCCACCTGTGTTTGAGGGCGAATGGCCTGGGAAGGACAGCCTTGGCGCAGGGCCTAGATGGCCCAGGGCTGAGGGAGGGCCTGGGCAGGGGCCATTTGGGGCACAGGGGACCGGTCAGCCCACATGTCCCCAGGCTGCACACTGTCAGTCCAAGAGTGTGCCAAGGGATCCTGAGCTGAGGTGCGGGGTGCAGGGATGCCCATGCTCTGCCGTGGGCGGCGATGGCCCCTCTGTACGCGGCTGGCCAACTCCCACACATGCCAGGTCCTGGGAGAGCGCCCGCCCGTGGGGCCTGCCCAC